CTACCAGTTTCACCCACTGTCTCTGCCACCTCCCTCCATGCCTGGTTCCTCCGGTTTGTATCCCGGTAAGTAAATAGGGACTCGTCATAAAGAACCGGGTGATTTGCTACCGCAATAACTAACTTCTCCTCCATTTTTGTGGAATATAGAATGAACTGCGGTCTGGCTCTCCCAGCTTGCACGCGGTTTGATTGGCTAGCGCTTGAACTGTCAGATTTGCATAAACGGGATTTGATTGGCTGACGCCTCCAGCATAAAGACTGTTAACATGGGTAAAAAGCTAGCCTGGCTCTAGCTCAAAACTTTAGTCTGTGTATTAAGTACACAAACAATGCACTTTGTTAATTTGTGAATTTAGAAGTGCTAGTAGGCAGATTGTGTTACCTTAAGAAAAAGCAATGCTAGCATTTAGCTCTTTAACGTTTTTTATGCTAAGCTAAGCTAACTCTCCACAAGAAATAACAGCATGAAAACTATTTCGATTTTGTGTGAAAATACCATGGATCTTTCCTTATGTGGGTTTATCAACCTACAGTCCACGTAGATTTTGTACAAGATGAATTGGCAACACATATTCTCACCTTGCTGTTATTGAAACCTGAATCCAATTTAATCTGAGTTAACCCTTCCTGAAATCTATTACCTTCAGCATCAGCACCCCCCCCCCCCCCCCTCTACACACACACACTCCTTGATGCTCTCGAGTATCAAGTTTTCTTATGAAACCGATACAGAGTCTGACCTTTAAGCTAGACCAGCGTCGCCAAATCAGCAGTAGGCCTATCTCCCTCTCTGTCCAGCACACTCAACACAACAAATGTGTCCATCTTAGGTCTGAACATAGAGGTGTTAACAGCCACGGAGGGAGTGTGACTTCCTGTTTACAGTCATGTGATCAAACATCATCTGTAGCGCAGTAAAGTCCACCTGCTCAAACACTGCCGTCATGTTTCTATTCCTAGGCGAACAGATGAAACTAAGCCTTAACAATGCACCACAGTGACAACGTGCCAAAGTAATGATGTACTGGTTTCATTACCTTCTCTCCTCTGAAATGATGCCAGCCTTCATGTCTTTCTACCACCAGTCAACACTGCGCTTATTGCAGCATGATATCAGACTGGCTACAACGCCACAGAGCCAGGGGATTATTATGTGATATTATCCCATTTGCTGTGTGAAAGACATAATATGAGGAGGTGTCACGCTGCTGGGAATATCTAGTTTAATCTAGATTGAAGACAGGGAAAAAGGCACATCTGCAGACAAGAGAGTGGAGTCTTTTTCATCAGTAGGCCTAATAATACAATGGTGGCATCCAGAAATCAAAAGAGACTGACTGCAACACTGAAAGAACATTGTGATTTGCGGTAGTGTTTTGACTATTTTCCTAGATACGCATTTGCATTAAACAAATCACAGTCTCTGAAGAGAAAGGCAAAAGTTGATTGTACTCTTAAATGCGCGCTAGGCCGGTGCTCCCCAGCACTCTTCATCCAAACATCAAATAATTTAGTCGATCCGCACGGGAGGAGCTTCATAGGACTCGTAGATCAAGCGCACCTGCTGACAGCAGACTGACACCCAGCCAAGAGCTCATCCGGCTTTGAAATGTAAACCAGTCCACACTCAGAGGGGCTATGCAACTCTTTAACTTAAGTGAGAACCACAGCAGGACTGTAAAGAGAGGAGGAAGCTTTGCAAACAAGATGACAGCCGAAAAAAAAAAAATCCTGCTTAGGGGTATGGATCGCTTAAAAAACGATTATCTTTCTGTGATATTTATGTAAATGGTAGCAGTTTGCCGTTGCAGGACAGTCGTATGTGCCTACAGTATGGGGAGGAATTATGTGCATTGCATAAATCAGTAGACAAACTCATGACAGACAATGATGCTTGGATGTTGATATTCAGTCTCCTGCTGTGATTTGTGCAGGTGTTTCCCTTCTGCACATGCGCACCAATACAATCAATCTTGGTAATGATGTGTAGCCAGAGGCACACACACATCCCTTATGCTCCATATTTTAATATAACTCAGTGTAGTCTGACAGGTTCATGTGTCAAGGCATGTGTATTCACGCTCACACCGCCTGTTCCATCTCTGATTGGCTGCGTTCCGAGGTGACAGACTAACTGTATGTGTGCATATGTGTGTGCGCGGACCCTCTGTTGCGAGGAAGGGGGTCAGAGCCAGAGGAGGTGATTGGCTGGTGAGGAGAGTCACAGCATCAGCACATCCTTAACCCACTGCCCTTCTTTCCCTCTCCTCCAGTCCGTACCCTTCCCCCCAACTTGACTCCGGCAGCATACTGTAGGGCACACACGCATGCACTTACACACTACCGGCACCTATAGAATCTCTTTATTTCTGCTCCCCCATCTCTCTTTTGCTCACTAACCACACACACAAATCCCTGCCCTCCCCCTTTAAATGTTAAAGAATGCCACTTGTGAATGCAGAATAATGGGGCTGTCAATATCGTCTGGCGACAGATCATCCCTCGAAAGGTGAAGAGGGTTTGAAAGGTCAGAAATGCGACTGAGGAATTAATTTCCACATATAAAGCTTCAGTTAAAAGGGAACTGGAACACCATCATGTCCTCATTTTGCTCTCAAGGAGTATCACATTCAGGATTTAAAAAAATACAATTATTTCAAAACACATTTTCTAATCAATCCACCTTGATAGTATTACATAATCAAAAAAACCCACAGATCTTATCGCTTCTCTCTACTCTCTCTCTCTCTCTCTATCTTATATCTCTCTCTCTATCTTCTCCTCTCTCGCTCTCTCTCTCTCGCTATCTCTCTATCTCTCTCTCTCCCTTATCTCTATATATCTCATCTATCTCCCATCTTCCTCTCTCTCTCTCTCTCTCTCTCTCTCTCTCTCTCTCTCTCTCTCACCGACAGAGAGGATAAGAGAGGAGACAATGCAATGTGTCAAAGTCACAGTGTAAAGAGGCATCATTATTACACCAGACAGCTTTTGTGTCGCTTTGATGCCCCTTGCTATTCTCACTTCTGCCACAAAAAGCCAGCAGGTATCGGTGCTGAGGACAAAGAGACACCAATAAACCCAAATACACAGTCTGTTTAATGGAGGATGTTGGGGTTCGCTATAAAACGGGTGCATTTGTTGATGCCTTTGCAAAGACAGACACAATCCCACATGAGCAGCAAAGCAACTATCAATGTCACTCAATGCATACAGTAAAGTGAGTCCTAATTAGATAACATATAGGTTTAAGCCATCTAATTGATAAAGCATTTCTGCAGATTTTTTTTCACCTGTCTCCCTAAAATATCCGTATGTTTTTGAAGGTGTCGCCCACAAACCGTGTGATTTAATATTTAGGCTCCTCTCACCTCGCAGTCATACAACTCGCTGAGCTGCTCGATGATCCACTCTTCCAGGACGAGTCTTTTCCGCAGCTCTTTCCTGTCGTACTTGACCGTCACTTTGCCCTGTCTCCTCTGCACCGGGTCGTCTCCGGTGATGGGGCCGGTGCCCACGCAGCCAACTGCGGGTGCACCTTGGAAGAAGACGCGGCTGCCGACGGTGGGCAGTGGGGCGCTAGTCTCGGTGCTGGCGGCCGACATTGCGAGATGTTAGGGGGTTAGTGTTTTAGGAAAATGTTGCGAGTGAGTGGAGACTGAGAGATGCACAGCAGACAGGAGAGTGGTGAGGAGCTTTTAAACAGCTGCTATTTAAAGCGCAGCGCCGGAGACAGCCGAGGAGGCGGAGCGAACACTGCAAGAAATGAGCATCCGAGGATGTAAATGGTGTGAACATTGAAATCAAGGTTTCCATGAAAAAAGGAAGCCTTTGCAAATGCCTATTTTCCAAATACAAATGATGTCATTTTCAAGTTATAAAACATCTTAAGACGTGACCATCCCACTATTGCTAAATTGGTGTAAAGGGAAGTTCTGCTAGTTTTTGACAGCTGAAATGAATCTGAAAGATATCATTATGCAGGTTCTGTGCTTGTTTTAGAAAGTGAAATATTTGTAATAGAATCATAAATGATATGTTAAGGTGGGTATTGTTGGGCAATGAGCCACCTAGATTCTCTTCAATGTGATTGTCTGTGTACCAGTGCGCACTGAAGAGCGAGCCCATGCTGGAAAGCTTCAGTCTTTTATACATTCTAGCCAAGCTATTCTTTTGCTTTGTTTTATTATTCATTTGTTGAACCAACTCCATTACATTATTTATGTGTGTGTGTGTGATTTATGTATTTGTAAAAAGGCTAATACATAGGCTTTACCTGATTCTTGATCACCAGCATGTTTTCAAATGAGTTAATTATGAACCCAGTGAGTTCATCCTGGCAGAAATATTTGCGCCACCTGTTGGTCATTGGGGGAGCATTTTGTTTACCACATACTGTAAGTAATGAATGGAAATCATCAACATATAGGGATTAAGTATATACATATGAACTGAATGCTGGTTACTTCACTGTATATATTGCAAAATATCGTGCTTGGGATAAGATGAAATGTGTTATTGCATTACATGTGCCCTTACTATGATGTAAAAATAATCTAAGTTTAAAGTCTAGCACACTTGCCTCTTATGTGTATGTCACACCAGTCAGAAGTAGAGCTGGTACATCTCTAGGATTGAGTAACTAAAATTTATAATTTAGATAAATATAAATAACACACTTTTCTTCCCTGCCAATTGCAGCTTCGATTTTAAAACAGCCCTTTGAGAAAGCTACAAATGAAACAGTCAGGTATTACCTACCAACAGGAAGAGGTAAAATATTGACTTTGTAGCACGTGTACATTATTGAACACATAGGCTCTCATATGTTGATTATGGTGCCATTTCTTGACATTAAACAGAAACAGCGGGTAACCGTGGGGCAGAGCTGCAACCTAAGAGCCACATTCCTCACAAAGATAGCCCTGACTCAGCATTTTTTCATAACACTCAATCTGCACTCAGCCGAGTAACCGGGTCTTCTTCTGTCCTCTAAAGCACTCATGGCTCTGCTGTCAGTCCTCACGCCTGTCCTGGCCGTGGTCCTGTGCCTGGTGATAGGCTTCATGCTGGTGAGGTCACGGGAGACAGAGACCACCTCGACCCCCTCTGGAAAAACTGAAGGGGCAAAAAAAGCAGACTTTAGAACGTGGGTGGACCAGGACTTGCAGGACGATACAGAAATCACAGCAAAAGAGGAAGGTAAGAGCTAATCAGAAACTTCTTTCCCACTTTCTAAAACTTTTTTAAGGGAAACGAAGTATATGTAGCCTAGGCAAGAACCCCAATCTCAACACAAGACATATTTCACATAATGTAAAAACCCCTTATCAATAAGTGAATGTCTTTGGTTTTAGACATAATCATTCACAGTTGGGTTAATCAGTAATAGTAAAGGGCCTGCAGCCTAGGGACATAATAATGTAAGGAAAGGTCATCTTTATTGTCCCCAGAGGGCAACAAGCCACCACAAAGGTAGAACAAGTACAAGGTAGTTACTACTACCTGTACCAGCTGCACATGTAAATGATGAACACATAATGCATCAATATGTTATCCAATGTTTTCTGATGTTTTCTAAGTGCTTTTACATTTTTGTTCATTTAATTATTTTTGATAATTTATTTCTTTAGTAAACGTTATGCTTAAATGCAACATTTCTAAAGATGTTTTTGATCAATCCTAATGAAAGTGCCCTCTGCAGTAGGCAACATGAACTGAAACTGACTCTTGTAGTCAAGCATGTGTGAGGTACTTAAAAGGTATCAGTGCACTTGACCCAACTTTGGCTAAAACAGAGAGAAACGTGTTACCTGATATACGGGCAACGTGCTAGTCTGTTACATACAGTTTCATCAACATATTATATGTGCGTGATAACATAATGTCATCTGGGTTTTAAATCTAATCATTTTGTTTTGCATCATTGAATATAACTTTACATTATGATCCAAGAACAAGCTGTATTGCTATAACAATTTAGCATTTTGTATATAGGCTAGTGCTCACTGGTCCTGCTTTTGTCTGTCATCCTGTTAGAGGATGGCGATTGGGCGGACAGCCACGAGGAGGAAGACCTTCTACATGTACCCTACTCACCACCACGTTACCCAGAGGAGACGATGCTGCAGAGATCCAAGGATCTGTACACTCTGATGAACCAGCGGAGGTCTGTGCGATTCATCAGCCCTGAACCAGTCCCACGAGAAGTAATCGATAATGTCATCCGTACTGCAGGCATGTGAAGACAAATGGACCACTTTTCATATGCTCTAAACCAAAATACAAAAAACGTAAACATTGATCTAGTGGGGGATGTGGCTATTTAATTATTTCCTATCAACTTGCCTCCTCCCTCTGGACAGGTACGGCCCCTAGTGGAGCGCACACAGAGCCCTGGACGTTTGTGGTGGTGTCAGACCCCGACACAAAGCACCAGATCAGACAGATAGTAGAAGAAGAGGAGGAGGTCAACTACCGTCAGAGGATGGGGGACAAGTGGGTCAATGATTTGGCCAAATTAAAGTGAGCACCCACACCACCCTCCCTCATTAATATGTGCTTATTTGTTCTAGAAAAAGTCCATTTAACTGCACGTACAGTGATTCATCCCTATCCCCTTATCCCAAATGTCAGCCTGACTTACACTATGTCTATCTTTCATTATGGACCAATGTACTGTTAAGTCTTCCTACAACTTCCAATCTCTCACATGTCTAACCCATTTGTCAAAACGTCCTTCCTCTTGCAGGACAAACTGGATTAAGGATTACCTGGATGTTGCTCCATATCTAGTCCTTGTATTCAAACAGACCTATGGGATTCTACCAAATGACAAGAAAAGGACACATTACTACAATGAAATCAGTGTCTCCATTTCCTGTGGAATCCTGTTAGCTGCCTTACAGGTAAAGAATAACACCGCCCATTAAAATATACATCAGCCGATAACTGTTTTATTTCTCATTAATGCCATTTAAACAAGGGTATGCATGCGCTTTAGGATAAACTGCTACTTGACATGGTAACGTGGCTGAATGTCTGCTCTCTCTCTGTCCATTTGCTAATCAGAACGTGGGTCTCGTCACCGTCACATCGACACCTCTAAACTGCGGCCCCCAGCTCAGGATCCTCCTCAAACGGCCGGCCAATGAGAAGCTGTTGATGTTACTTCCTGTAGGTTATCCTGCGTCTGACGCCACAGTGCCTGACTTGAAACGCAAGCCTCTGGATGATGTTATGGTGCACATATAACAGAATCAGTCTGTAAAGAAAATACACATTTGTTTATCATCATCTTTGACCCATCTGAAAAATCATCAAAAACATATACCTAATGTAATTAGAAATGTTTTAATTGATCAGTCTAAAACTAAAGCTTAACAATAAACATACAGTATATGGAAGGAACAGAAAAAAGTGTCCTTGCAACCATGCGTTGTGTGTAAGTCATCAGATACACAAAGCAACATCGGATTGACAATCTTCTCTTTAATACAAATCCTTGATTGACAAGTGTAGTTTAATAGGCTATTACTTTATTTTTGAATAAAGATAAACCTACTGTTTATATCCTTTTTGTATGTTTATGTCCAGCCAATCCTGTTGAGTTAAAATACAAATAATAAACATTCCACAAAGCTAGTTTTTCTTTCTTTTGTTTTATCATTATGACATATTTTACAATATTTGTTTACTCTTAATCTAAATCATATAAACACACTATTATGGTTTACAGAAAAAGATAAATCAATCCTGTACATTATTATATGGGATAACATTTTACTGTGATTTAATGGCCACTGGTACAAATGTTAAATCAGTCAAACAAGCCCAAGGTCAACCTCGCTCTTACCAACAAACGATATCCAGCTGCTTTCCAGCGCTGCTGCCAAAATAATACACAATCTGTGTTCAGTTGTTTGCTCTGGGATTGCTTGTGTAAACTGTTTGTTTGCCACTACAATTAATCTGACTATACTGTTGACAAATGCAATGTCCATAAGAAATACATGAATAGTTTGAGATTGTTTATCTTATTATTCTTTTTTTATAGTAACATGCATTTTTATAACAAAATAATGTATACATTTGCAGATGGTTGTAGGAACACATCTGGGGGACTTCTCAAACTGAGTTTTTACCTCTTTACATGAAAAAGAAAATGGAGCATGTGCAAGAGTTGCAGAGCCTGGCTATGTAATCGTTTACGAAGTAACCGGGTACATTTTGTTTTTTTAAACATCAAACTCATCGAAAAGAAGTACTTAGATCTTTTACTTTATTAAGAACCAGGGTGTAGGAACACTCTGTTACAAGTAAAAGTCCTGAAATCACAATGTTTCTCAAGTAAAAGTAAGTACTCATTATGCAATCATATGTTGTTGGTTATGAAGTGAAACTTATACTAATTGTGAATTTAATCCAGGTATAAGTATTTTTTAAGTCTTACTCCTATTGTTTATCATATATCTACTGTATATTTGCAAATTAACTAAATGTATTAAATAAATGTAGTGGACTAAAAGTACAATATTTAGCCTACCTCTGAATTGGAGTGGAGTAGAATAGTAGCATACAATTCAAATACTCACGTAAAGTACAAGTACCTCAAAATTGTACTTGAGTACAGTACTTGAGTAAATACTAACTTAGTTACTTTTCAACACTGTCTTACTGCTTCAATCGAGTTAAAAAAGCCCCATCACACTCAGCTCCTCTGTTCTTCCTCCGTCGCCACCGCTGGGGGTCAGTAGCGATCAGGAGCAGCGCTGGATACCCACGAAGAAGAAGGAAGGCCACATTGCGCAGGCGTACACCACGTACACCGATGATCAGAGCTGTCTCGGCTGAATGCTAGCTGGCTAGCTAACGGTCTGTCAACTCGCACACATTGGGCTAGAAGGGGGAGAATCGCAGCGGTGGAGAAGAAGGGCGACCCAAGCGCCGCTACGAAATGGCCGGGCAACAGTTCCAGTACGATGACAGCGGCAACACGTTTTTCTATTTCCTCACCTCCTTCGTCGGACTTATTGTGATCCCAGCCACATATTACCTCTGGCCCCGGGATCAGAATGCTGGTAAGGCCCGATGTCTGCCTCAGTGCTAACTCAATAACCACAGCTAGTGTAAAGTGTCCTGGTAGATTCAGCTCGTCTTGTTTGTGTTAATGCTCACCAGTGTGCAGCCTGTTAATCTGGTTAGCTTCCTACTAAATGCAGCGGCTATACGAGCTAACCACTTAACTTGTGAATGTAGGCTAGCAGACGTCTCTAAAATGATGTCCACGTCTCTTTTACTGCTCGTAGTTACGTACAGGTCAGTTAGCACAGATACCGCACCAGCTTCAAGTATTACAAAGCCATTGGTTATCTATCTGCCTTAACGTCACATTTATAGTCTGTTTAACCATACTCCGATAGTAAATTAAGCTAAACTGGCTGGTTAAGCAACACCTTCAACACCAAAGCCTTGTGTTGAAGGTGCCTTGCCTTTGTGGCTTTATTCACCTTATCCTGATACATCCTTATAGCAGTACAGCTGTTATCTATTTGTCAACAATACACCATATCTAACAAGGTTTGGGTAAACAAATGCTATCAAATTTTACTCCGCTGGATTAATGTGGATTATTGAATGACAATTTAGATTGGAGTTTAATAGGTTGTAAACAGTTATTTTATTGTTATGTGGAATTAAATATTGTATTGCAAGTTAGGAATCCCCTGTCAACACCATTGCATTAACAATATCGGAAAATACACCCACATTTAAACTGAATTCAAGCTGAAAAAAGGAAACCAATGCACCAATGAAACCAACCCCCTCCTCTAAAATCATATCCACAATGATTTTAAATCCCAATGAAAATATCACCCAACCCTCTTTAAATCATTACCATAAAGCAGGTGTATTTCCTCCCTAACTAATGTGGCATTATCAGTAATCATTGTGACTGTTTTGATGGTATTAATGTGTCCGTAACCTCTCTCTCTGTCCATCGTTTTTCCAGAACAACTGCGTCTGAAGAGCCTGAGGAAGGTGCATGGAAGGTGTCTGTGGTACCGGCTGCGGCTGATGAAGTCGCAGCAGAGCATCGTCCCAACACTAAAGTGAGTCCAAACATCTTGGTTTGTAGTTTTCACGGTGTAAATAGATAAGCTGTGGGTGATTTAAATCCAGAGAGGCCTCTTCTCACTTCAATTAAGCCCACAATCAGATTTTACTTTAAATATTTCACTTGTTTAGCCTAATCAGCTTCAGTATCATACAAATTCCTCACTGTTGAAATATGATTGGCCTAAACATGCTCAGCAGTGTAATAACAGGCTTGTTTCCTTGATTGGTCCGCTCCCTTTCTCTTTGTACATTTCGCATCCCTCCTGTTGTCTGGGTGTGACTTTCTGTTTGCCTTGAGTAACATCAGCCATCCTTCCTTTACTAAGACTGTTCCAGACAGCTCTCTGGATCACTTAGTGTGTGTTTCCAGCTGGACACTGTCATGTGACAATGAGGCAAAAGCCACACTGTCCAAAGAATACATCTTTTGTGTGGAAATACTTGTATTTGGTCATTTTGGGCACTTTTTTGTTCACGTGTAAACCTCTTGGTGCTGTCGGTGTAAACATCGAGTTGCACTGTTTAGCATTTCTCTTAACATGACGCTGTTTTTCTCAGTGTTGTTTATTCCTTCAGCGTGTGTGGGTTAATGGAGGATTGGGTGTTCAAGTGCGGTTCAGCGTCTCACTCCTCGCCTCCTCCGTCACTGTGTTTCTGTCTGAGCGTCTCGTCTTTGTTCCGTCTCCTCGGTCTCCTTTGTTTTCATGCATCCACTTTCCACTCCGGTTCTGTCAATACACCTCCTATATTCTGTTATTACTCTCAAAATTCATGACTTGTTGTTTTAGCATGACTGCATTTCTGACTTAATCTGGTGGAAGCATCTTTTTTCATCAGCCATTTATTCTCAAAATGCCACTATCCATTTCCTCGTTGCAACTGTATCAAAACAATGGTGTTTATTATAGGAATCCATCGTATATTTATTTCTGGTTGAGCCAGCCAGACAACTCAGGCTGGTGAGCGGTTGTCATGGCAACAGATGCTGCAGAGCAGGCCATGGGGTTTTGCTATTGTCATGGAAACAAGTTCAACCTCCATGCATAAATACCAAACAACAACAATGTGAGAAGCTGCCCTGCCCTTCTGCCTCCATGCATAGACCAAGCTTTCTGTTTTTCATATTCCCAAATGTCTGTCGCTCTAACAGCTGGAAGCTAGTTTGCATTGCAAATTGCATCTGCACAATATCTCTACTCCAAACCGTTCTAAAAATTAGACGACGCAGTGTGAAGTGGCTTTAAAAAAAGGGACCGGCCTGATGTTGTCTCCTGGGAGCGGTTACGCTTGTGTGTGACATCTTTTCCTTGCTTGTGTGTTTCCATTTTCAGGAAAGCAGCTTTGTTATTTGGCTGGGCTGTGTTCCTGCTGCTAGCATACAAAGTGTCCAAGCTGGACAGAGAGTACCAGGAGTATAACCCATATGAAGTCCTCAACTTGGACCCGGTAAATACGCACAAAACACAACGTCTCTTGTTTTCTGTGGGTCCTCTGAAGTCCGTTAAGACTCTTTTTATCTTGTGGGACAAAGATAACTTTTCTAAGATGAAACACAAGACAAAAATAACCATCTTTCAGGACTTCTGAGAATCCACAGTGTAGTTTTCCTTTGACTTGTATCTGTTTTTACACTTCATGTGCGGTAAGGAGCTGCTGTAATTATATTTCTGTCTCCAGGGTGCATCGCTATCAGAAATCAAGAAGCAATACCGTGTGCTATCACTCAAGTTCCATCCTGACAAAGGCGGTGATGAGTCCACATTCATGAGGATTGCCAAAGCCTATGCTGCGTAAGTGTCTCGATGTTGTAAGCCAGACAGCAGCTACATAATCAATAAGCAGATGAATGAATAATGAAAGCCCAGAAGTGTAAGGTGATTGATTCCTTTTACTCTTCATTCCACAGTCTGACAAACGAACAGTCACGACAGAACTGGGAAACATACGGTAACCCGGATGGGCCGGGAGGTGAGTGAAACTACCGGTTTTTTATTTTCACACATCTGCATTTTAAAGTGTTGCCACACCTTTGTGATCAATGCTGGTGAGTCTGACTCGCTTAGTCATGAATGTGACAAACAATGGAAGATTCATCGATACATGAAAGCCCGTTAATTCCAGGGAGAAATACCATGAAGATATGTCTCAGTCTTATACACTGACTTCTACTGTGGGCGTTTCGGCACCCCCTTGAAAACGAGATGGTGCATCTCAAGGGGTTTATCCCAATGAATAAAAATGTCTATATATAATGCATTTTCACTCACTGGCCTCCAAAAGTATTGTGTTCATGTTGTTCAATGGCATCTAAAATGGATTATAAGGTTTCGAATGTAGTAGTTGAAATTGAATAGTAATTTTTCATAACGTAAATATAGGAAATAATCATTTTGTGCTATTCCGACTTTGTCCATGATGCTGAATTTGCCACACGGCACAGCTCTTGATTTTTACCATTTTGATCGATGTTTCTTATGTCTCCCTTTCTAGCCACCAGTTTTGGTATTGCCCTGCCCGCCTGGATTGTTGACCAGAAGAACTCAATGCTGGTATATATGAATGTCAAATGGAGTAACAATTTGCAAACCTACCTTTTTTATTTGCTTTAAATGTGTTGTACTATACTAGCAACAATAAAAACGAGTGTGTTACATCCTGCTTTCTTCTCTAGGTGCTGCTGGTATATGGACTAGCCTTTATGGTCATCCTTCCTGTTGTTGTGGTAAGTCCTCATCAGCATTAGATTGTAAAAAAAACAGTTGCCTTCTCTTCTTCCTGTACCCTGACTTTCTAACCTTCTTACCTTTTCCCTTCCACATCTCAGGGCACATGGTGGTACCGCTCCATCAGGTACAGCGGAGACCAGATCCTCATCAACACCACGCAGCTCTTCATGCATTTCATGTACAAGACACCCAACATGAACATGAAGCGTGAGTTCCCCGTCTTCTTATAACAAGACTTTGGACAGCGTTTGAAGCGTTAGGTCCAATGATTAAGTCAAACAAGCTTTACTTCCACCTAACAAAACAGACATTCTGAAGTTCTTTTGATATGCGTTTTAAACTTTTTTCGTTTTTCACTCTCAGGGTTAGCCATGGTGTTGACCGCAGCGTTTGAGTTTGACCCCCGCAGTAACAAAGACGCCACCATACGACCAACAGACAACATCGAAGTTCCACAGGTACAAAAAAAACCGTACTTGAGTCTGCCTGTGTGAGAAGGACTATTTTGAATCTGTGTGTAAAGAATTCAAAAGAAAACACTTGTAAACAACCTCTCCTGTGTGTCTTTTAGTTGATCCGTGAGTTGGGAAACATCAACGTGAAGAAGAAGGAGCCTCCATTCTGCTATCCTTACAGTTTGAAGGCCAGGGTCTTAGTGCTGGCTCACCTGGCACGCATGGACGTCTCAGAGGAGCTGGATGAAGGTAGGACACCAGAAAAACTGCCACTTGTAGAAAATGGCTAAATGTCATTATTTACATGTGATGTTGTAAAAGCTACTCTTAGCCTGCTGATAAATTCAATAAAGTGTATTCAAAGATTTGTAAAAACAGGCGTGCCACACTGTTGTATTTCACATGGTTATATAAGAACACAATGAGTTAGCATATATAGCTCACATCTCCAAAAGAAGTGGTCAGTAACTTGTTCTTTAGAGCTTAGAAAATGGGAAGTTAAACAGCGAGACAGCATGTCACGGGATTGCAACATAAATACACAACCATACCCTGTTTGTATGCTGCCACTCTTACACAGAGATAAGGTCAGATACTCAACTAGGACAAGCTGTTTAGAGTAGTTCTCTGTTTGTGAACAGTACTTGGCAAGCTGTGATGTTTTTGAGACATCTGAGTTGGATCTGCACGAGTTAATAAACTGCGTAACACGTGAACACGCATCCAAGACTCTATTGCGTGGTATCCAGACAGTGGAGAGGTTTTAATGACATTTTGAAGGACGATATTCAACCATTATCTGCATATTTATTTCCAAATAATAAGATAAAAATATAAGGAAGGCCGGGAACATGTTATTTAGAACATTGTGTGTGTTCCGATTCCAGATCAGAGGTTCGTGGTGAGGAAGAGTCCCGCTCTTCTCCAGGAGATGATCAACGTGGGCTGTCAGCTTACCATGATGGCCAACAGCAGAGGAGGTACACACACACACACACACACACACACACACACACACACACACACACACACACACACACACACACACACACACCAAGTTCAATTTACCGGGAGCAAGACCTCTCACTTTGAATCAGCCTCTCACAGGTCTCCACCAACATCATTGTGCCCGTTGCTTCCAGGTTTCCATGCTCCTCGACTGGTTACCATAGAGAACTGTATGAAGCTGACCCAGATGATAGTGCAGGGTCTGCAGGAGTCAAAGTCACCGCTGCTGCAGCTGCCCCACTTTGAGGAGGAGCACCTCCGCTACTGCGTCTCTAAGAAGGTAACTGCCCGCCCGGTGTCTGTACATGCACACAACAAGTCAAAACATGCAGAAAGGTGTTATTGATCATTTCCCCTCTCCTCTGCAGTATAAAGTCCGGAGCCTCCAGGACCTGGTGAGCTTAAAGGACTCCGACAGACGCAACATGCTGCGCTTCCTCGGGGAGGAGAAGTACGATGAGGTCTTTGCTGTGTTGGGCAGCTTCCCTCACATCACCATGAACACCAAACTGCAGGGTCAGTCCTGATATACACACATCTTAACACGCATTGTTTGTCCACCAGCTGACCTGTGACACGTCTGCACCACAAAATGCAGTAGCTCCATCTTAGTCTTTGTCCCTTTTTAGATGTATCTACCTTACTTACCTTATTGTCAGGTCGTCTAGTTAAATGTTGAATTTGTTTCTTTGCAGTCCTTGATGACGAAGACAGCAATAACATCACAGCAGGCTCCATCGTCACAGTCACTGTCACCTTAACCAGAAAACGGATGTCGGTAAGGATTGATTTTCCAAAATAAGGCGGGAATCAAATGGATTCCTAATTATGCCGCTTTGGAAATTCACTTCCACTGACGACCAGTAGAGTGTGCTGTTGTCTGTATGCGTTGTTAAAAAAGCTAAATGTGTGTTCTGTTTTTGTAGGAGGTGTTTGAAAAGGAGCAGGACTCATCAACACCCTGTCTAACAGAGGAGGCTGCCACTACAGAGGAAGCAGTAAGACACACGCACACACACACACTTATACAATATCAGAACTCTATGCTGGTCAGATTTAGCCATGATTAAAAGCTCTAGTTCAAGAAATAATGTGCGGTTTACCTAACTTTAATTTGTCTTTGTGTCGTACAGGGAGACGTGAGTAAAACCAAAACAAAAGTGTGGCAGAACAAGAGTAAAGGGGCTAAGAAGACAGCCAAGTCCAAGAAGAAAAAATTAACCAAGAAGAAGGCCACTCCAGCGCCTGCTAAAACCAAGCAGGCCAACGGCACCGTTGCAGGAAATGTATGTATCCAATCACAGCTGCTGGTTGATCATCACTCACATCCCTTACATCATACATTATTATTTGTGTTTTTGCCAATGTTGTCACAGGAGGTGGTCACAGCCACAGCAGCAGCAGCAGCAGCAGCAACAACAACAACAACAGTAACAGCAGCAACAGTAACAGCGACAACAACGACGACGGCGGTGGTTAAGGAGGAAGAGGACGAGGTCTCGGACAAGGGCAGCGAATCAGAAGAGGGCGAAGCCAACAAGGACTCTCCCAGCGAGAGGGACGAAGACAGCGACAAGCAGAGCGACACGGAGGTGGACGAGATGGCTGGAGACGATGAAGAGGTCAGAACACTTTAAATGAGGACTAATGGCAGTGTCAGGCTTGAGCAATATCTCATTTTATTATGAGTTTCAGTCTAATGTGTTTCAGTCTAAGGCTGCACGATTTGTAAAAAATTACATTGCACAGATATTAGGGCTGCTCAATTCATCGTATTTTAATCGCAATTACGATTATGGCTTGCAACGATTACGAAAACAACGTAATCGAAATAAAACGATTAGTCTTTTATTATTATTATTACTTTTTTTTTTTTTAATAATTTTTTTAATGTATTGGTTTTTCAGTTGAATCATACTTACAGTTCAGGGTAATCAACTGTTAAAAACATACTGTTCACTTTTTTTTTTCTCCAATAAATTGATGTTTTCAAAGTAAATGGATAATCGTTTTTAATAATCGTGATATCAATTATTGACCCAAATAATCGAGATTATGATTTTTGCCATAATCGAGCAGCCCTACCTGATATTGCAAGTGCAGAATGATTCGGCACATTAGACGGAATGACCATTTTATGAAACCTTATTCCCACATTTTATTTAGGAGGATCTGTTCCAAACAGTTTTAAAGACCAGGAATTCTCAGCAGCTCTACAATACCTTATTCAGAATGTTACTTTGCCATAACTAAATGACTAAATCCATCAAATGTTGATTCATTTTGAAGCCTTTTTAACAAATTCCACACCTGGAAGCATGAAAAATCCTCACTCTGTGTTCCATATTGTCCTGATTTAACATCATCAATGAATGCAGAGGCTTGTACCTGTACCCAGCCTAACCCTCCACTCTCCCCCCTCAGGAGTGGGAGGCGTTGCAGCAGAGCATCCAGCGGCGGGAGCGGGCTCTGCTGGAGACCAAGTCAAAGGTGACGCACCCCGTCTACAGCATCTACTTCGCCGAGGAGAAGCACGAGTGGTGGTGGCTGTACATCGCAGACCGCCGGGACCAGACCCTCGTCTCCATGCCCTACCACGTCTGCACGCTAAAAGACACAGAGGAGGTGAGCGTGTGTTTTCTTATGGAACAATGGCCAAATAAATGTATGAGTTTAGATACAACCCAGGAGGCAATCATATGCTTCTACTTTATTGTAAAGAATATTTTTGATTTATGTTTTAGTTTAAAAATGGCATTCATTTAGTGGTGTCCATTACAACCCAAGGTGACATTTTCAAATGACTTGTGTTTTCCCAACAAATTGACCCAAAATATATGAAATAATAAATGTAACATTTAAGAAACGAGCAACAGATTAGCATTTTTTTTTATTAACCAATAATTGATTATCTATAATGACAGTTTCTTCCATTATTATATTTACTATTCTAAAGTGAAGTGTATGTTTGCATCATATTTAAATACCCTCAAGGCTGTGTTGCAGCTTATGTTATAAGTCTGGAGTACAAAGGTCTTAAGAAGTGGAAGTGTGTGTTTGTTCACGTTTCTGTGCACCGTAGCCCCTCACAAATCCTGTTGCCAGGCAACCCGTTCTGTCATTATATCCATCGAGGGTTAGTTGCTTATATATGTGTGTGTGTGGTTATTTTGCACCTCTGAACCTGGTGTTATCCAGGAGTGACAGCGAGGTTTAATGAGGCCCACGTAAAGTCTGAAGGAATGTAACGGCCAGAGGTGACCCGCCCATGCTTAACACTTCACCATCAATTACTCCGTCACTTTAAGAGCTCCGCCTGTTGTTTGTGTTGTGAGCCCGCTAAAACGCTGCGTGATTTGACGGACATGTTTTTAAAAAAGGGGGCGGGAGATTTTCCTTCATCAAAAGAGTAAATTGCCGCTGTGTTCACGTCTCATTCTCGGCTGAATAATAATGAGCCTCACCGTGCTGATAATTATACGTTTACCATAAGTAATTAGTTGAATGCTAATATTTACCGGGGGACCCTTTCAGCATGTTGTGTCAATATAGCCCAGGATCACACATCAAGGGTCTTTAAAATCTTTACAGCATATGACATCCTCCATCGTTAAAATGATTCATTTGTGGTAACCTACCTTTTATCAGATTGTCTTTTTTAATTAAAAAAGACCAACCTTTTAAAATCCTGAAACAGTCACTTTATTTTATTACGTGGCTGGTGATTATTTTATTTTTGATATATACAGGAACATTGTAGAATTGCCACATGCTGCTCTGTAGAACAATGCTAAATACATCATATGCAGTTATATGACTGATCCTGTGATTGGATTTGACCTATGTGTGTGTGTGTGTGTTGTTCTTCAGGTAGAGCTGAAGTTTCCAGCACCCTCCAAAACGGGCAACTACCAATACTCTGTGATACTTCGCTCTGATTCCTACCTGGGACTGGACCAGATCAAACCACTCAAGGTGACAGAACAGCTTTGTGTGTGTGTGTGTGTGTGTGTGTATGCGTTTATGTGTGTGTGATTGTTTGGAGGATCCCTGCCACTGCCCAAATCTGTTTGCCTGCTAAATCTGCTGAAACAATACCAATGGAGTGAATTACTGCCAAGCTGGTGGAAACAAGGCGGCTAACAGCCAAACAGAGCATGAATTGTGCTTTCGTTTATTTATCTATTCTAACTAGGGATGCACGATATTGGTTTTTTGAAACCGATACCGATAACTTCCTGCTTCTCAAGACCGATACCGATAACCGATAATAATATAATATATATATTATATTATATATATATATATATATATATATATATATATATATATATATATATATATATATATATATATATATATATATATATATATATATATATATTAGGGCCGGGACTCGATTAAAAAAATTAATCTAATTAATTAGAGGCTTTGTAATTAATTAATCGAAATTAATCGCATTTTTAATCACATATAAATATTTGACCTGAGAACAGTGAGAAGCAATTTTTTTTCACATGGATTTTAGTATACCATTAGGCGCATTCACACCGCAGTACTTTTCCCACAAAGGTTCATGAGAATTTAGTTCATGAGAACTCTTTGAACCTGGGGGTGGATTAGGCAAATGAAGCCGCTGACGTCACTTCTTCTTCTTCTGCTTTGGGTTTACTGGCAGGCCGCAAACAGCTTCACGGCGTATACTGCCGCCCAAAGTCCCCGGCCGGAAGTCCCCGGAGTTGGGGACTGGCTTCAGTAGAAGCTGCTGGGAGTCCCAGCAGCTTCTACTGAAGCCTTCCGAGTAAATCGCCAGAACGCCGACACCTCCTCATCTCCACCGCTCCCATGTTTTATTTTGTGTTGCCATAAGTTAGTCTCTCTGCGCTGAGCTAATGCTAATGCTAATAATGCTAATGCGAGGATAATAAAATGCCGGCTTCACAAAACTTTTTGGGAGTTTTACGGGGCGGGGTTTGCAATCCGCCCAGCCAATCAGAAATATAGCTCTTTTCTCACAAGAGAGCCGTACGAAAGTCCCTGCTCTCTAGCAGCTCTCTGCTCTCTAGCAGGGACTTTCGTGGGGGTAAAAAGGTTCTCATGAACTAATTTTAGTACCGGCTCTTTTTGGTGTGAACGCGATAAAAGAGGCTAACGTCCACGCTAGCTTCCACGCTAGCTGCTATATGTTTTGCATTGAGGTGATACTTGAGGCTTGATGTGCTGCGGTGATATGCGAATTCCTTTTTGCATAATTTGCACACAACCGTGCTCTTATCGACGCTTCCATCCGTCCGTTTTTTAAAACAACATTTCCCACTGTTGTTCACTGTGGTTTGTTGTTGTCTGAAGTCATGAACGTTAGTTGGTGCTCCAGTATAATCGGTACGCCTGAAACTCATCCAGTGAGAAACGTTCCGCGGTGCAAAAATAAGTGCGATTAAAATGCGTTAATTTTTGTGTAATTAATTAACGCGTTAAAGTCCCGGCCCTAATATATATATATATATATATATATATATATATATATATATATATATATTAAATGTAGCCTACCTGTAGTTTTTGCACACCTGGTGGTAAAAAAAAGACTAGTAGTGAGCAAATGACATGAGCATTACTACTATGAACAAAACTAACCCTGGGGTCGTCTCTGGCAAACTTCTTTCCTTTTTCAAAAGCCTCGTCGATAGGTAAAAGCCCCGGTGCCTTTTCAGCTGGCTTTGGATTCGCCGCTAGTTTAGCAGCGCAGGCGTCTTCGTACGCTTTTAACACACCAGTAGCGATGGCGATGTTTCAGGTGACTAATCAGGTTGTTAGTATTATAGCTCGTTGCCTTTTTCCCTCCTCGTGGAACTTCTGCATTGCATTTGTTAATACAAATAGCAAGCGAACTATCTAACTCTGAAACTTTGAAATAGTCCCATACTACCGGCGACATGTTTGTTTACTGTCCTGGCTTCACGGCCGCACACCATTTACGTCACAGCCAGGCATGAGTTAGGGAGCGCTGGATTTGTGAAAAACTCCCCTCTTCCTAAACCACTAATACCACAGTACTGGCAAAACGGGAGGAGCCGAGGGAAAAACAAGCACACCTCATCCCAATCCACCCACACCGCAGTATTTTTTCTTTTTTTGGGGGGGGGGGGGGAATTCCGTCAGTCGATCACATGGTCGTTCCGTGCTGACGGAGAGCACCGGAATGCCGCTCCAGCTCTTCAAATATTGCAGTACCCATAAGGAGCCGTACACACCGCAGTGTTTGCGTGGCTGTGTCTTTAGTTGTAAGCACAGTGGCAATCTGTTGTTATTAGCATCTGGTTAGCTAGCTATGCTAACGAATTTAAAGAGCTTTTCTACAACCAGGTGGAAGAAAGCTTTCTCCTGAGAGGCTCAAATAACCTCAGCTCAGTGAGGTTAAGGCACACCTTGATATGATCATTATAGTTATTAATGAGACATTAGAGACTAAATGAAAAACAGGTATAAAATACTATATGACAGTAACAAAAAAGCTGTTAAAATAACAAGAATAGAGTTTAAAAGGGGAGTGATTTGTAAAATATCCAAAAAGAAAAATCTGCTTGCAGTTCTGTTTCAAATGGGTGTTGAAAGATGTATCCATAGATCTCATGTTGCTCTCAAAGTGCACCAGATTGATGCTTTTAACTTCAATATTTAAAAAAAAAAAAAAAAAATTCCGGGGGAGCATGCCCCCGGACCCCTTAGAGAAGGTTAGGTCCCCCCCACTTAAATCATGTTCACATGGATAGGATACTAAATACATTTGCACACATCTTGTGTCCATATCTTTCTGTTTTGGTGGTCATGCCACAACCGTGCACATACATGCATGCGCGAGTCATGGTGAGATATCTGGATTAAGAGGTTGCTTTTTCTTTGCACAGCATGACAGAAAGGCCAAATGAATGGGCTGTGATTTTAGTTTTTTTTAAGCAGAGGTTGAGTTCAATCATTTGTACGGCCCTCGGAGGATGTTGTAAAAATTGAAAGGAAAAAGGTTCCCCACCCCTGCTGTAAATAATAATAAAAAACCCTTGATTTTTAACTTAACATCTCTGTCTCCTATTGATCTGAGTATATTATAAAGAATAGCCAGTTAATTGAAGCATTATAGCACAGGCCGTTGTCAGATGATAAATTACGCTGTTTTTTTTCTGCTTCGAATAGTTCTCTCTTTTTTCACCATACCTGTGTTTGCATCACTGAGTTAAATAAAAAAATATTTCAAACTATTGGTACAATCACCTGTGCAGGTTTAAAGGTCCCATGTCATGCTTTTCCGGTTATTACCCGTCCCCTTGTGTGTTATGAAGGTTTTTATGCATGTAAACGGTGTGCAGAGTCAAAACCCTCAACGTACACCCTGTAGGGAATAAAACTAACACAGAAAATACCTCCCCAAAACGCCCCGTTGAAGATACGTCATTGTCCATTGTTTACTTCCTGGGTATCGTGACGTAAGAATGGCCAGTAGCCGAGCCCAGAGCTATGACGCGATACGGTCATGCGTTACCCGGAACCAAATGGACCAATCCGTGGAGCCGTTACGTTAAGCCCCCGCTGATTGGTCCAAATTGACCAATCCACGGACTTCCTCACACACACAACACTCAGTGCAGGCAGCTCTGCTGATTTCTCCTCCCTGGCTGCAGGCTGATAACAGACAGTTGGGATCACGGCGAAATTCTCTCTGCTGACCCATTCTCTCTGCAGACCCATTCTCTCTGCAGACCCATTCTCTCTGCAGACCCATTCTCTCTGCAGACCCATTCTCACAGCGTTTATCAACCTTTTTCTTACTCAATATCAAGCCACACTTATTGTTTTTACTTCGGCTGTGACTTTGTGTGGGCTCAGGGTGAGTTTGGCTGTGTTTCGATGTGTATCGCTAAACAAGGAAACCACACCTCCACGGAGCTCAGCGCGATTCACAACGTCCCGACCAATCAGAGCACACTGTGCTCACAGGGAGGGTGGGGGCTGGAGCTATTGGAGCTACAACGAGCCGTTAAAGGCAGAGAGTGACATTCAGTGAATACACGTAGTTTACAGAGATGCTGTTTGAGAAACCAATGTGAGTTTGGAAAATTGCACAATATAAATCTATTCTAGTAGACCTCAACAATGGAATTATGATCAGTGGAAATCGTCCTCTGCAACGCAATGAATTTCAGGTAGAAACACTTTTTAGACCATCTTGGTTGTGAAAACCACAACGTAAAGTAGTGCCAGACTTCAGATCTTAAAGGTCCCAGGACGATGGGACCTTTAAGATCTGAAGTCTGGCACTACTTTACGTTGTGGTTTTATTCCTTACTAAACGACGGCTTTCACAACCAAGATGGTCTAAAAAGTGTTTCTACCTGAAATTCATTGCGTTGCAGACCATGAATGCTCATAATCTGTTATTTCTTGACACCAGACACCATCAATATATACATAAGAGGTATTAGTGCTGAACAATTTGCTGTCCGATACCAACATTGGATTTCCCCACTTGAGTCCATGTGGTGCTAATAATGATTTGAAATAAAGGAGTTCCCCGTTTTTCATATTACAGCTTGGTAAGTTTGTAAAAAGACAGTGTTAAGACGAACTACCAGGCATCAATGTAGTTTATTGTCACTCAAGGTGTTATAGCACCCTAAGATGTGGAAAAAGAATACGGCTCTATCATGGTTGATAGGAGATTAGGTGTGCCTCTGCAAAATGACCAAACGTAGGAGATATAATCTGTGTTTTGAGGTGAAATGTCGGTATTCTTACGGGTATTCTTGTATTCCCCCAGCTGGAGGTCCACGAGGCCAAGGCCATGCTGGACAACCACCCGCAGTGGGACATCCCCGACACAGAGGAGGAGGACGAGGAGCAGGAGGACAGCGACGGCATCGAGGAGAGTGAAGACGACGACGAGGACAACGACTGAATGTGGATACACGCACACACAGCCCCCCCAAACCCCACCACCACCCGACCCCCTCCCCATGGACTGACCACCCCAACCCACTCCCGACGCCACAGCAGCACTCAAGAGCAGAGAAGCAGAAGCTGTGCCCGCCACAAACACACACTGAACACACACACTGGGGACAGTTTATACACACAGAGCCCTTCTTCTTCTTCCCCTCCATTTTATCTTTACATAGACTGTGACCCCGCCCCTCCATTTTCCCCCTTTTTCTACTGAGACTTGTTCGTTCAGTTTCCGTTGCTAACGGAAGAGAATTCTGTGAATACTTGCCCAGGCCCTGATGTGTGTGCATGTGAGAGTGGATGATGTGTGTTTGTAACCTTGTATGTGTTTGTACAGGTATGGAAGATTGACACACTGTGGACTGGAGGACCTATTATCTGGGCTCTTTTCTCCAAGGGGGGAGAGGGGGATGTATAACAGCTAATTCAGTTTTGCAAAATTAACAAAAACACATGACCTCCGAATGGAAATCATGGCATTGCTCTTTTTCCTAATTTAAAAAAAATCACTCGGCACCAATGGTTTCCACACCAATGATACTTTCTACTGTACACTTAAAAACTGCAGTGTGAGCTTTAGATTGCTTCGGAACACATCCGAGGCAAACATTGGGACGTTTCTGCTCCTTTCAGCGCATGGGGGCACAGTAATGTCTCGTCAGGTTTAGTTTTTTTCATTTACTTTTCTTTGTCACACCAGCCAGTCACTTACTTGTACTCACTGTATGTTTAAGGAGATGAGCATAATTGGACACTGATCTCCAGTCGGTTCCGTTAATGATGCCTGTTCTGCCCCTGTAATCCAGGTCAAACTGTTGGTTGAAAATAGGTGGATCTTGAAATGAATTGACCTCAAGTATACTGGGGGAAAATGGCAAAACTTGCAGTGTTAACATTTCTTTGAATTATTGAGTACTCTTCTCGTCCATATACTACATACAAATGTGAGTTTTCAGTCTTTCTAAGGGGCTCAGATACTGATATATATATATATATATATATATATAGATATAAATACTTGTGGCTTTTCGGAGAAGTTCCTTTCTCTTCATCCTTTTTTTTTTTTTCCTCTTTACAATTGTAGCACATTCCAGTGTATACTCATTGTCCAAAAAGGCCTTATGAATACAACTGAAATACCACAACATAGTAGTCCTTGGGTGCTATGCACCATTGGTTCTTGGAAGAGCAGAAAAAAAAGTTTGTTTTGTAACAGTGTTTTTCTTTAGTTTCCGTATAGAGATAGCCTCTTCATAGAAACCTATAGCTCCTCAGTCTTGGAATACATATCACTGAGTAAAGTTGTGTCTGCTGAAAGAGGATTAGCAATCGTACGTGACCCGCTTTGTGTTAAAGGGATTGGAGTATGGGGTCCCTGACAGCACTCATGATCTGAAAAGTGTCTCGAGCTAAAACCTGTTGAAAGTAATTTTTTGTGTAAGACAGATGATCTTCTGTTCAGCACCTTTTCCTTTTAGTCATTAAAGCTCAACAATGTCTGTTTTTTAATTACCGCCATTTTTTCAAATGATAAGTGTTTTTCCCCCACAACATTGTAAAGGCATTTTGTTTTTGATTTTCCGTCTGGGGGAGTACAGAGCAGTTCTGGCTAACCAAGATACCCTTTTTTCATTTAAAAGTTCACTTAAGCTTTAGTGACAACAAATATAAAACATTGTCTCGTTTCGTTTCAATCTAACTTTGGTTTTTACATCTGTTAGACTCATGAGTGCAAAAAAGAAAAATCAGAGCTTCCTTGTGTGGCTCTGTGGGCTCACTGTATGTCGACGACTTGACAGTGTTTAAAAGAAATGTATAATCTTTCACCATAAATATCCACATTTTCTTCTATTGTATAGTGTGTCATGTTCGTGTGGGAGAGTTACAGATATGACTATTTGTGGGCACGCTCTCCCAACACCACATACACAATCTCACGTGCGCACTATCCCCTCCCATAATTGCATTGAAAACAGGTTTATGCTAACGGGCAAAATTGTACTCTTGAGTATTTATCGCGCTGCAATAGAATGTAGCATCAGTGATTTACGCTGTGTGGGGAAAAAAAATCTGCGATGAGGTTAAATACGACACCATCTCTCCCATGACGGAAGATGTTCAGGCGACTGGCCGGCAGGCCTCCTCAGTTTGGACAAATTACCCAATGACTATCTATCTGCCACTTTTGTTTACAAAGGAACTGTCATTGTAAATGGAAAAGTATATTATTTGTATTTAAAATCATTTCAAATAAAAAACTTTTAAATGAGATTGTGTCAATATTTTCCCTATCTACTCTTGGAAGCTTGTTTTGGAAATGTATTTCAGTGGGTACTGCTACCCAATGTCGTGGCCCTGTCATGTAGAGGTACCCTGACAAACTAGTCTTAGCATATCATTATTTTTCAACAGGGAATTCCTTGTCTGAAAGTTTGATTTCACCATCATAATTAGGCTAATCTTCCTCTTACCTAATGCCGTTCCAAAGGAAGCTTAATCTATGCAAAGTGCTATGCTAATGTATTAAAACAGGTCAGTTAGGATATCTGTAACATCCAGCTATACCATAACAAGGGGTTCAATTGCTTGTACGCTCATATATTGCAGTTTCAAAGTCGTTTTGCATGCGTGGGTGGCGCGCTTGAGTGAATCAGATTGAATGAGAAAAATGGCAGAAGGCACTGGTCCAGGGGGCAGAAGCAAGGGTAAGAGGTTTCTATGTATGATATACATTTAAACATGGTTTTGTTGCTGTACATTATTTTACAAACTGCCGGCTGCATAACATAACTTTAAAACACACATTTTTCTGTAGATATAATTATTAGTGTATCAGTCTGTTCATCCCTTTAATGTAGCAGCTTGTAAAGATGGAACTCATCTTAATAACTCATATAAATGGTTTCTTTACTTACTTTTGATTATATTATATTATTCTGAATTCGGACGTTTTATATAATATGGTGCAGTGATAAGTACAATATAGTAAGATAAGAAGGCTCAAATACTAGAAAATCTCAAATAGTAGTGCAAAGTTAACGTTTACTTAAACACTTCAGTACTTAGTTAATTAGTTAATAGCCTACTTAACATAACAGAAATTCAATTTAAACATTTCATATCAGTTTTTTAAACTTTAGTCATAAATCTGAAAGCAGAAGTAACTCAATACTATAACTATTTACTAAAAACGACTTCTATATTTTGTTTACATCACAATAGATGTAATCTTGAAAAGTATAGAACAGTTTTGTATCATCATTGAATCATTTTAATGATTAAGAATGTGGCCTATACAAAAAAAAGAAGCATCACAATAAACTGTATAAGACCCCACACACAACAAATCCCTGACCATAACTACCTAAATATCTAAATTGTGTGACAATATATATGACAATAGAACATCATGTTTTCTGGGTTTAACTCATATCTGTCAAGGAGGGTTTGGGATATCAAAGAGGGCTGAACCTCTCCAGTTGGAGTGCTCCTGTTTTATTTACCGAGCAGTCTCTCCTTCTGTCTGAGCCGGTGCAGCAAAGATGCAGCTTCAAAGCCAGAGAAGGAAATTATCATCACCAACAGCACCTTGAAAGGTTTAGCGACACGTCTCCCTACAACTTCCGCCATTATGGACGTTACAACTCCTGCCAAAATCTCCGGACAGCGTTAGGAAGGTCAAACAGCGGCTCAGCTTCCCGCCCCTCCGTCTCCAGCCCAGCCCGCGGTGTGAGCACCGAGGGCTCCCTGGTGCTCCAGCCGCCTCTGGTGCTCCATGCTCCGGCTCAGCGTACAGCAAGTCCACCTGCTCTGGAGGTATGAATTCCCTCCGTTAAGTCGACCACAACAAGATATAAGTCTAGGTAAATATGAGTCTCTATCACAAAACCGAATTTAAAGGCATCTCTTATCATCATTAACATTGTGTAACATAGCCTACCTACACAGTGGCATAATCCCACACTACTGTATTTAACCCACAACAAGGTCATTATAAACTCACTTCAGTGCAGTCCTTCTATAGAGAATACTATAGAAAAGCCTTATGTTCCCTGCTAAAATGTGATGTTGCTTGCATATTCAATATCCAATTTCCATCATACATTTTACTAAACTCACCTTTGGTTTCACTAACATCCTGATCTACAGTATACAGTATGTGACAGTGTTGTTTTAGGGCATTAAATATTTAGACCAACAACTATTTTTATCTCCAAAAAAGTTGATGTGGCAAATGTTATGCAGTTATGTTATGCAGTTATGCAGTATGCACACATGTATGTGGAGTATGCTGACAGTTAATCATTCACATCCCTTCAAACCAGACTGAATTTGCTTGAGGCCACATTGCAAAAGCAGTGGTATAGTGTAGTCGTGTGTAACAGCTATAACTCGCAACATCTTGAAAAAGTTTGATAAAGGAGTGCACTTTGCAGAAGGACTTCATTTGCACACAAAGAAAAAGTCCATGCAGACAGCATGAACAACCTTGTGGGCTCCTGCAAAGTGTTTTGTTTTTTTGTTGGCGAGGAATTTATTTAGTTTTTTTATTCTAAGGGATCAAAAATGCTGGATGACAATGGAGGCACCAGAGCTAAAAAACAAGGCCTGAGATCAAAATGTGCCATTTATCATCACTATAGTTTGTAATTCATTACTTAAAGCAACCAAGTCCACCTGTAGGGTCTGACTGAATCCATTCACTTAATTCCTTAGTTCTAATTATTTTTTGAAAAGACAAGGATTACCCCTTTGTAAGACACTGTTTGAAAAAGCTTTTTAATAAAGAAAGGTCTGTCAGCACTGAATTGCAGAGGGAAATACATTCGCAGGGTGGCACACTATTGGTCCTTTCACTTTTGTGTGTGATTTTGTTAAAGAAATCTCTCCAGATTCACTTCTGGCAAAGCTCCAAACCACAAGTGTTTTGGTAGCAAGATAAAGTTGTTTTCTGCTCTCATGGGACTCAGAGCCTTAGATAGAAACAGAGGAATTTTCCCGTGTGTGTGTCTGTGCTGGGTTGCACTCAGTTTTGTCAAATATAACTGTTTCATGGTGCCACAGAAAGTGTGTGTGTGTGTGTGTGTGTGGCATCTTCTTTCATGTTTTTGTAGGATGCCTGTTTGATCTTTCGTTTTACTTTTCTTTTTTATATTGGGGTTGAGGGCAGATTTTTTCCTCTCTTAGTTGATTGAAGCTGATAGTTCAGCTCTCAAAAATATTGTATCTGCTCTTTAATGTCCCATTTTCCTTTGATTTTTATTCAGTGGCACAAACCAAAAAACGTGATTTTTACTAGGTTTTGGTTCGGTGAAACATTTTGCCCTTTTCCTTTTCGCTATAGTTAAGCTAATATACTTTCAAGATTCTTGCTGTTTTAAGTTATTATTTATGGTTGATTGCCCTATTGATAAATGTGTCATTACTGTCAGACTTTGTTTAAATCATATATACTGTGCTGTAAATACTAGGGCTGAACGATATAGCGTGTCGTTTTTTTTTTTTTAGATTTACATTTTTTTGAACTCAAACACGTCATGTTACAATTATTTTTGCTGCTTGCTACAAAAGGAAAACTCGCGCGGCTCTCATGTCAGGGGTACTTGAGTGAGTGACATGCAGGCTCTGCATGCACAGCAAACCACCAATCACAACCATTCAGATCACAGGATAACCGAGCTAGCTCAGCTTGTTGCTCTGATAATTCAAGATCCAGAAGTCCGTGACTCAAATCCTTCATCCGGTTAAATATTGTTAAAAAAATACCAATTGTATAGCATAAAAGTTCAAGAAAGGATGGTTTGCGGACAAAAAAAAAACTGTCTTTTCTTCCTGTATTTTTTCATATCGCAATATATATCGCAGGAGAAGGAAATATCACAATGTCAGTTGTTTCCAATATCGTGCAGCCCTAGTAAATACATACTTTTGTGTGTAGTAAGAGTGCTTTAGATGTGTTTTTCTGATGATGCAATGCAACATCTCACTTCCATGCAGGCAGAATAATTGCTGCCTGATAGTAGTAAATAACCCCCTGGGTGTTCTCTCCAAGATATGGATATGACAGATTGTCCTTAATTCTTTTAGCAACGTCATTTTCTCCCATTAGCAACCAGTTTCTTTATTTGACCTCTGGATACACACTGGTTTAATTACACAATGCTCCGACCATTTTCTTTTCTGTTTTTGGTATTTAAAGTTTCCACTCACATTTTTGTGGTTTAAAAGGTCTGAAGGATGGTTGAGGATAAAATGAATGTTAAGAAGTGTAATATTCGAGCACTTCGTTATGAGCAAAAGGTGATCAGTAGAATTTAATTATTAATACATTCACATTTGACAGCATACATGCATATTTTAAATGTATTGTCGTTTTTTAAAGTGTTCTCTCTTTTCCTCCAGTGTGATGTATCCCGCCTCCCCCTGGGCTGAGAGGGCATGAGGCTGCGAGGTGGGCGGGACTCAAGCCCAGAATCCTATCTGGAACTAGCCCCTCCTCCTCCTCGTCACGTTGCCTGGTTACCTGGCGTCCTAAGCAAAGGGGTACGCCTTCGTCTGCGTTTGGATCACCGCGACAACCGGGGGCGGGGCTGCTGGCAGCTGGTGGACTTGGAGGCGGAGTCACAGCAAGTTGGGCGGAGGCTGAGGAGCCGCCCCTCCGACACCTGCGCTCAAAGTAAGAGTTTGTTTTTAAAAAGTGAGTCTCAGCATTTTATTTTGAAAGAATTATTTTGCCAGTCTCCCTGTATCTGCTAAAATGTAACGGGTATGTAGGATTGCCTTTACTAACTATATTAAATATATGTAAATTAAATATAGGCCTACCGTAACTAGTTCATCAAATAGCCTTTATCTTAGCTAAACGTCTCTTATGCCCCTTTCACACCAGCGCTTTGTCAGCTCCGGCTCGGAGCTGGAGCCTGAAAAGTGCCGGGTTTTCCTGTTCACACCGCAGCGGTGCCGGCTCTTAGCTCCGGAATCGGGTTCACTTCCAGCTCCAAAAAATTGTCGGTCTAGAGCAGGGGTGGCCAACCAGTCAGAGGTTAAGAGCCACATTTTTTCTATGTTATTGCAAAGAGCCACATCAAACACACAGTCACTGATACCGCTTGTTTCAGTTTTTTGTTTTCTGGAGACAAGATTTCAACCACGTCACTGATGCATTTTTGTGGCATTGGGATATATATTTTTCAAATCCTCTGGAGCAGAGAGAGGAGCTGTGGATTATTGTTATTGATTAATGCATCAGTGTTTCTTAGGGTCAAAAACAC